GTGTATTTTGGGGAGGATATAAAATAAAAGCTGAAAAGCAACATATAATGTTGAAGTTTAAACAATTCTTAAAAAGTAAAGTGTGGTGTACAGTTGGCTGCCTGGGTTAGATCATTGTCTACTGATAGTGCCTGGTTTCATCTTCATCTTCCTGGTTGATGACAGCAGATTTTATCGATAATTTCTTAGTATATTTTTCAAATCATCTGTCCCTCAATGAGCCTTCAAACCGCATACCATGATGGTTTCCCCTCTGAATGTCTGTGTTGGTATGGTGTTTTTGCGCTTTTTTCAAAACCCAGACTGGGTTGTCTAAGCACTTTGGTGTGCCAAAATGTTGTAATCAGGCTTCAACAATTTTTTTTCTACAGAGAGTGTCTTGCAGGCTTTGAGCACAATCAGGAAATGCAGGTAAGCACATCATTTTCAGAGACATGTCTGATGTCACGGCTCTTAGATCCTCTGGGAAACATCTAGTCCTGTAGATTTATGGCTTCAATGGTTTTAGAAAATTATCCTTTTTGGTTTTGCCCATCATGTCATTGTCTCTTGTGTGACACCTTGATTATGACTAAAATTTCTCTGGGCCTTTCAATACAGTTTTTCAGTCTGAATTGCAGATTAGTGTTTGAAGTACTGATGGATTTGAACTGATTTCACCTCTTACAGTACCTCTCTGAACCTGTGATGTGTTCAGTGATTCTGCCTCCTCTACTTCTATTTTATGAAACATATTTTTTAATTAATGAACTTCTACGACTTGTCCTATATGCATTTGTAGAGTTAATGGTCCAGCTGTCTAATATTTATTTTACCAGGCACAATTAGTGACTTTGGCACCATCTGGTTGCATTTGATGCTATCTAGAGGTTTTACACCTGAGGAACTTTTTAAATGTCTAATTTTAAATGAAATTAAAGATTTAATTTCTTCTTTTCTACCCTATTCATAGATATTATTTTGTCTTGGTCTACCACATGAAATATTAATAAAATACTTTAAATATGACAAAATTTCAAAAGCTTCATGCAGCACAAGTACTTTTTATTGGGACAGCATTACTCTTGTAATGCTGTCCCAATAAATGGATAAAATCTATACTCTACAGAAGGTTAAATGAAATTGGCATCTCACCAGATCTTTGAAACACAAACAGCACCTGGAGACCATCTGTCCAAATGAATCTTTTTGTGTTTAGCCAGCGCTGATTCTGAAAATAATGTGGGAAAAAAAAGTTTATTACTGAAAAAAGCTGATTGTTGGAAAAACTTTAAATCATGTCACAATCTCTGCATCAAACTGTCCATATCAATGCATTTTTTTGCACCATGTTTTTTTTCTCTCCCAATGTTTACATTTGATCACTGCTGCACTTTAAGAAATGCAATTGTCATTAGAGCTGTACAAAACGAAAATTCTTTTTTTTACAATAAAGTTTTGTCTAAGTCTAGGTCTAAGTCTTATTAATAATAATAACAATAATAATAATACTTTCAGGTTAAGCTTTCAAGCTCATCTTTTAGTTTCCATCTCTTTAAATCAAAGATAATGTTTCTGCTAATTTGTTTTTCATTCCAAAGAGTCCCTACTAAAAGGTCCCTTTTGTTGTTTCCATTCATTTATGTGTTTACCATAAGCCAGGAATGAAGTATGATACTGAAGGTCAAGTAGAGAGTAGAGAGCAATAGCAGGGCTCTGAACCGCTCCAGCAGGATAGCGACCAGGCCAACCTGGAACACGTACGTGTTGAACAGCATCAACAGAATGATGATCATGTTAAACAGGATACAAATGTCCTGCATGCTGTGGAAGAAAAAATATACAACGAGCAGACATGAAGAAAACAAGGACAGATAACTACCCCAGTGCCATTAAAAGCATGCTATTTAAATTATTATTATTTTTTTCACCTCATATTAGTTTCACCCCTACTGCTACTCGGCTAAATCCCAGAGAAAGTTTGACTCACATAAAAAGCACCAACTGGACAGCCGGTTCAGTTCTCAGCAGTTCGCTGAAGGAGTTGACAAATAGGTCAAAAGAGAGCAGACTAAGCTGAATCAACAACACAAGGGAGTAGTTGCTGGCATGAAGCATCTCCGACCCATAGGCAGGGTGCCCACGCGGATTGTGGTTCCACTGCGGATCCAATACTGCAGCACTCTTTCAATCCCACTACAGAGAAACATCCACCTGGACTCTGCAGATGTGACTGTCTGGATGCCTCAGGGAGACCTTCGGGTTGTCCTGCTCTGTAGAATGCAGATAAAGTCTGTTTTATGTGACATTAGTGCTTCATTCCATGATTCTTTAATCAGCTCAGTTTACTTTGGAAGAACTGAAGCACTCTCAGAGAGGAAGGCAAGCCTTGGTTTGGAAATGAGCAACATGTTAGTTTTGATCACTGTAGATCCTGCAGATGCAGCTGAGAGCAACTTGTAGACTTGCATATCAGAACTGGCCAGACATCAGATTCCTGAGGAGTAAATTGCTGATATCCTGTGGAGGGAAACAAAACGTTAATAATCTACTGCAAGTAGAGATTTAATGTTGGCATTTCTTTATATAGAAAGTTCTTTTTTTATTTCCTATGACTTTAAATAGAACAAATGTGAATTGGCTGTAGTTTGTTATTTTGACTTCATACAGTAGAAAGAAAGTAGAGAAAAAATATTGACATTTAAATTACTCAGATATATATTTAGCATTTAAAACTCCAAAAAATAAACTTTAACAGTTACTGCCAGATCTCTAAATATTTATTTTCCTGCTAAAATATTTAGCAGGAAGCTGTCCTTTGGAGAACGTATTTCTTCCAGGAGTAGAAAGAATAAAGATTTCTTGATGCAGAAGAAAATGGAAACATTTTTTCTGCAATTTTCCTTTCCTATGAAGGTGCTTTCAAGCCGGATCTGTAACACTGACACCTGGTGGATCCTCTCCCTAATGATCCCAGTATTTATAGCTCAGTACAAGCAAGACAGGTGTGAGAAAGATTAGGGCTGCTTCCAAACACTCAGCCACAGAAGTGAAGGCTAATTACTCTTGAAAGCTGGCCCAGTCAGATATTAGGTTAGTGGCTTATTTGCATTCAAAACTGCACATAAAACATGCATCCAAATAAAGGCATCCAATGTTTCTGACCACTATTACTGCTTTTAGAGATTTCTTTTAAAAAGGAGATGTTATCTCACGCTTTAATTTGCCTAAACCTTTTAATAGAAAAACAAAAAAACTGTTCTGACAATAAATTCCATCTGAAAAACACTTGTGTAACTTTGTAGTCCATTGCTGTTGTCATTGCGTTTTCTGCCTACAGTTTTAAGAACTGTTCTTCCACATCTTCCATAAATGTTAATTTTCTTATTCCATTGCATACACAGATAATGTAATACTTTACAGCTAAAAATTATACTCACCTGTTTTCCCTAAAGCAAAAAAAAACAAAACAAACAAACAAACAAACAAACCTGTGATTGAAGATTAAATTGTGCTGCTGAAGGCTTCTGTCTCGCTGAGGGATGCATGTGTGCAGAAACAGCAAAGTGTGCTGCAGACTGACAGCTTGTGTCCTTGTAGCAGCTTTTATCCCTTCACCCCTCTAATAAACACGCAGGAGATTTGTGCCACGATGTGCTCCAGAGCACTGTTTGTAACAACAAATGATGTTGAAATGGTATTTATTTTATGCTCACAATTAAAAAAAAATGTTGAATTAGTTTTAGTTCTCATTAGATGATAGAGAGAAGTGTAACAACCCTCTAAAGTCTCATGCATGGTTGGATATCCTACTTGTGCCTTTTGTGAGTCATTACTGTTATAGCTGTTGTTTCAATGTTTCCAAAAACTTGTGATTCATTTTTGTTAATTTCCATTTATTTGTGTTACACAGACATCATTCCCAAACCTAACTGTTGCTTTACACCCAGCACTATGCTCTGCAGCATGCAGCTTATCTAAACATAGGGTTAAACATCTTTCAGAACATATCAATCACATTTCTCTTCAAGATTATGGTAATGATTCCAAGAAAGTGGAGACAGGCTTCAAAGCAACTGCTGCCATCTAGTGGTAAATTGTTATTACTACACATAAAGTTAATAAAATGTACAGTGTGTAATAATTACAGGGATATACAGTCAGAAATTTAATATATTATACATAACTATGTTATTTTATCATCATCTACGAGCTCAGCCTCTTAACCTTAATATTTGCGTTCCCTTAGAATTCGTTATTTATAATTACATAGGAGCGGGTCTCGCAGCCATGGAGGCAGACATCTTTGCGCTACGGCAGCGCAGAGCCAACAAACTAGCGATTGCGAGATCGCCAAAACGTCACAACGATGTAGAAAAAATAACGGGCATATTTATTATCCTAAGTCTACATGAAATCTATACCCTACACAGACTAATGAAATACTATCTGTAAAATTATCTATGTAAACAAACCTCATCACTTGAGAAGGTAGGTGATGCGGACGTCGTGGAAGACATTTTGTCCCGTAACGCTCGCCGTACTGTTGGGGGGAGAAGCGGTGGGGGGGAGATGTTCATGTTGCTGCAGTCTGCAGTCTGACCGCTAGATGTCGCTAAAAGTTACACACTGTAGCTTTAAAGCTTTCTTTTCCCCATGGTTTAGTTCTTTATTAATTGTTATAAAAGTACTTTTGTCTGCTCACTTAATTGTTGTTTTGGTTAATTTGAAAGATTTTCAACAGTATCTGTGAAACTGAGCAGAACTTGTATGTATTTAGAAGAATTCAGCTTAAAAGTTTCACTGCAGTTAGATAATGTGTACAGCTGCATGTTGTCAGCACTGAAACTGTTTATGAAATCTCCTAGTATGATAACATAGACACTAAAACCCCTGCAGATTGTTTTGATTGAAGATGGTAAACATTTTTCAACCAGGGATAACTAGTAGGAACTAGGAAATGTGATTGCAGGCACCAGGCTGTGGCATCTGTCTGAATACGAAATAGATTAAATAAACTCGTTTCTTTTTTTAGTCTTAAACAAAATGTATGGCAATCTAAATTTGGTTAGCTTTTTCCAGTCCTAAAGAAATTTAAGGCATTAAATTAAAAATGTTTTAGTTTTTCCTAGAGAGGAAATCACTGTGACCATTGCTTGAAAAATTGCCTGGAGATAAAATATTAAATTCTACTAAAAGTCTTGATCTGGATACTTCTCTGATATAATTATAAAATAAAAATAAAAACCAAAACAATAACAAAAAGATCACCATTTCCCAAACTTAGATTTGTCAAAAACATTGATACTTTGAAAAGTAACCATACTGACACGCTGTATCCAGATGCAGTACTAATTTGCAGCAGTATCAATATCAAAGACAAATGTTGTTTGGACATTTTTGCTGTTGCTATTTGTTTTATTTCTAGGCTATTTCCACAGAATATTACCTCAAACAACCTTAAAATATTGTGAAATATTTTATATTTTGGTAAATGTATTTGCGCAATTATTCCAAGAATAGAATCTGATTAATCTTATGTTGAGAAGCATGTTCCATTTTCATATTGATAAAGTTAAGCTTTTCATGGTACTTTCAGTCACTTTTTTGCCAATGTAAGTAATCTTAATTTTTTAAGCCAAAAAGCAAACTTTCAATAGGAACCACACAAAATTTAAACTAAAAATGAAATGTCATTTCATTCTGTGGCTCTTTGGTTCAGATGCTCTCTTGATTTATTTTAAATGATAAAATATTACCCTGATCTCTGTTTCATTCTTCTCTGTGTCCTCATGAAATCACCATTTTTTTTACCTGACAATGTGAGTGAGATGAGAATTTGATTATAAAACAGTTTTTATAGTATCCTTTTAGTCATTTGCAGATGTTACAGCAACTTCATTTTTGCTGAACTGAGCCTGAGAACCACAAACGTAGACTGGAAAACTGTGAATCTGGCTCTGCCATCCTAAAAAAAAATTGCAGCTCTGACTTAAAATATATACTTCTATTGCTAACAAGAAATGTAACTATGTTTGCCCAACTTTGTTTAAGTTTTCAATTTATAACTTAATAAATTAAGTTGGTCCAACTCGATTCAATCCCTTATTACCAATTTAACCAATTAATTTAAGGTGGGGCTTCATTTTCTATATAAAGTGTATCCCAAACCAAGTAGGAATAGGAAGGAAGGAATAGGAATTTATTCAATTTTCAGACAATTTCACAAACAACAATAAATGAATCAACCAAATACAGACTAGTTAAGATCAACCAAACATGGACACCGATTTCCAAACTAAATTCATCTGAACGTAAATACAAAACAAAACCCTCCATCACTGAAAAAAAAACAAAAAAGCAGAAAAATGTTTTTTATTTTTTTTATTTTATTTCAGTTTAATATGGGGGAAAAGTCAGAATTCTGAGAAAAAAGTAAGTATTCTGAGAAAAAAGTCTGAATTCTGAGAGAATTCTGACTTTTTTCTCATATTATACTGAAATAAAATCTAAAAGTCAGTTAACTTGTTTTTTTTTTGTTTTTTTTCCATTGGCCCTGACATCAATTAAAGTAAATTGTCTGTAAAGGAGCATAAACTTCTGTTTTTTTTTATGAGTGGGCATCCTTTAAATACGTTTCTGTACTTTTAATCGCTCTCATGCAGCATTTTTTCTTATTTAATGGATTGTATTCAACTGTAAAGCATGATAAAGTAAACGTCTCCTCAGGACATAAAAACCAAGAATCCAGGTGGCATGAAGGGGGAGGAGCCTCCTGAAGCCTTCCTCAGCTTGGATTTCTCTCTCCTGTTATGCATGAGCCTTGTCCCCTGCACGTCGTGTCTTCCGCTAGCTAAACATAGAATGGTAACCGTCACCATTTAGTTCCAATAACTTTATATCCATCTCTCTGTATCAGCAGAAACCAGAAGAAGCAGCAGGTGAGTGAAACCAGGAAGTAGTCGGTGACCACCGTTAGCTCTGACCTTGGTTTGGCAGCTGAAACGTTTCGCAGCTTAGCACAAATACCCTTTTTATTAATTTTTTCGGAGATTTTTTTTAATTAATTTTCGTTCACTTAAAACGGAGTTTTTTTTTGTTTTTCTACAAGTTAATGGCTTTTAGCGTTAGCTTTGTTCCCAGACAGGGATTGGTTTTAACAGCGCAGGGAAAAAAAAAAATCCAACATCTTTTTCTTTGAGTACCGTCATAAATTAAAGCATGGGAGACATATAACTATTACATTATTACTGTCGTAGACACTCCATGGGTTTTAAGTATATTGAGCGACTAGAACTTTCTGTTCCATCCAGTGGTTTTCCAGGTTAGCTGCTGGTTTATTAAAGAAAGTTGCTAATGGAGCGGGTTAAGCAGTGGGCCTTATTGACTCATTCCTGAATGCACTGCCTGTCCTTTATTTGTATTTTGGAAAAGTAAAATGCATTGTGTTTGAGTATTGTATAAAACAATTATTTATTAACCATGAAAGTTTCATGTATTTGTAGTTAAGGCAGTTTTAATTGCGTTATTACTGCATATAACTCAGCTATAACCTCTTATTGTTAAACTTATAACAAAAAGCACTGCTTCCATTTAGCATTTTTATCAATTAATATTTATTAACATAAAAAATTATAGTAAAACACAAATTGTAAGAGCATAAACTAACTTTACTGTGACTGTTACATATTTTACAGCTCTTCATCTAATACATGGGCAAGTATGAGGCTTCAAAAATGTGTTACTTCAATAAGAGTGAGAGCCAGTGTTGGTTTAATTAAGACTTGTTGTTTTTCTCATATCTCCTTCCTAACAGCTTCATTGTTTTTTCTCTTAGTTTGGTGTGATAGAAACAGTCTGGTTTTAGCCAGCTGACTGGCAGTGTGGGCAAAAAGTGGGGGTGGGGTTGTGTTGCATTCCTAGAATGTTTGATACAGCTAGAGAAATGTAAAGATGCATGTTTGCTCTGATGCGACGGCTGACTGAATTTCAACCGACTGAATCAAACATGTTTGATTTTTTTCCCGACCTTACGATTCCTGTTGAGGAGGTGGGGAGAGGCTGATCGCCCCTCATTACCCCCCTTTACACTACACTAAATTCTCGCACGACTGGAGAATGGGCCCGAAAAAGGAAAAAAAAAATCGTAAAGTGTATTCCCAGCAATGCTTAGGATTAGGTGATGATAAAACCATGTCCATACTTAGAAATAACTTTGAATCTGTAAACATTTAAATTCGTCATCAGTGACTGCTGGAGATGGGTGTTGCTTGTTCTGGATTTTGAAACATTATAGCAAATTCAGCTTTTAATATTCAATTTCAAAGAACTGATATCACATAAAATGGCAGTAAAGTTGTTAGTTAATATGTTTGACCTTTTGGGTTAACTTTGACTGACCATAACCTAGCCTTCAGCTTGGTTTTTAGTGGCTGAGAAAAAAAAAAGTGTTAGAGAAATTGCAGTAAAATGAGAAAATAAAAAACGTGATTAATTAGGGGTGTGCAAAATAATCGTCATGACGATGCATCGTGATTCTAATTTTCGTGATCTACTGCATCGATTCTTGACGCCAAGTATCGATTATTCATTTAAGAAAATTAAGAAATAAAATTGCATGATTGTTTTTAGAACATCAGCCAAAAAAAAGTGTAATACAACTTCCAGTCCAGTAGATGTCGTTGCGGATGTGTTGACGCACGCTGCCTTGTGTCACAAGCATTTCTGGCTGAGGGATATTGCGCCGAGTCATTCAAAAACAAGACATGGAGGAGATTGAGAAACTTTCGTCCGGCTCCATCACATTTCAAATCCAATGTTTGGAAGCATTTTGGTTTTAAAAACAAAGGTAAAAATGAAGTTGATATGATGCGCACAATTTGCAAACACTGCTACACCAGAATTAAATACTGTGGGAATACAAATATTGCAATGCATCACAATAATTCAAGTATCGTGATGCATCATGATAGAATCGCATCGTGGCCTGTGAATCGTGATTCGAATCGAATCGTGACTTCTTTGGCAATACCCACCCCTATGATTAATCATAATCCACCTTATTGTGATCATTTGTAGAAATTACACATATTCTTTCTGTTAGGGAACCTTAGAGTTATGAAAGCGAGATAAAAATAAGTACAAAAACCCTGAATTTCTCTTTCCCACATCAAATCCGTGATTGTCTGGTGACATTGAGGTAAAGACTGAGATTAAATTAAGTGCATCTATGTGAAAGCAAACTAATCATGCACTAAATGGTGTCAAAAATCCGTATATATTTTGACCTCATCCATTGTATGCCTTATTGACAAAAAATAAGGCTAGAATGTCAGAAGAATGACAAAAACCTCTTTGGGCTAAATCAGTGATACATTTAACAACTTATTTCAACAAAATTGACATCATTGTTTGGCTTTTTAACTAGGCTTTATCAGTTTAAAAAAAATGATATTCTTAACTAGGACTTCAAAAAAGCTGCCTAATGCATTTTTTATGCATTTAGTTTAATTTGTTTTTTTGTTTGTTTTTTTGTTTAATATTATATATTTCAGGGTTAGCCATATATCATGAGTTAGATATATCCATGGCATTTTACTGTTACAGCCTAAAACAAACAAATTCAGTTTTACAGAATGGCTCAGAGTTGAAATGATTGGTCAGTTTGTGTTATTATTGGATTAATTAATTTGATGAAGGACAAGTTTTGTTGTGAAAAAAAAAGCTTGTCCAAGGTTGTCCTAAGCATTTTAAGACCTAAAATAATACCTGAGAGCTGACATGACTACTCTTGTTACAGCTCTGTCTGTCAGACAGACGACACACATTGACTTAATTTACCAGAGAAAATTCTTGCCTAACATTTATCTGAGTGAAGGAAAAAAACCAAAACATTATTAGATCCAAAAGCCATCCAGATTAATTTAAGAATGACGCTCACAGGCCTTCAAACAGATAGCCGTACTCAGCGTTTTGGTGTTGTGGACTGGAAAGCAAAAAGACAACGCTGGCAGTTATGTCTTGTTTGAATTTAATTAACAGGAGCATACTAAAAGGGCCCACTGTACCAGATGGAGAGCAGACAGGGAGCAGCCGCTCTCCCTCACTCTTGACACACAGGAGACACTGCACTGTAAACGTGGGGGTGGGGAGGGAGCCGGGATGAGACGATGAAGTATGGAAAGGCAGCGCGAGTTTGGGCTTGACTGGGAAATTATCCAAGAAAACTGTGGGATTGAAAAGGGAAAAAAAAGTGGGTGTGAAGAGCAGAGTTACCATAAAGGTAGCTGGTGTCATTATTATACATTTTGTTTTTCATTATTCATCCCCTTTTGGCAAAAGTGTGAAACTAAGCCATTCAGGTTAGTTATGCTTTAAAACTTTCCATTAATTTATTTATGTAAGCGCTTTGAAATATTCATGTAAGGCTGAAGGTGGCACTAAGCAATTAAACAACTTCAATCATTTATAGAAACATAAAATGTCAGTAAAGATGACAAAAGTGGCACATCGCCCAAAAGGCGCTACCTAGGTTCACAGTTATCTAAGTGTTTCTATAGGTGGGAGAAGAGATTAGAGTCATTAGAGTGAACTGCATTTGCAGTACTGTCTGAAAACATTTACGGTTTTAACAATTTCAAAAATTTTAAACAGTTTCAAAATTATATCTAAGTTGTTGTTAATTTCATGTGACATATAACATTGAATCGGATACCATGGGCGTTACCCTTTACCATCTTCGATCTTTAACTTGATGATTAGTAAAACCATTCAAATAAATAAAATCAAAACTGATTTTACTCATAACACCCAGATCCAACTAAATAGTTTGTTTTTTGTCCAGGGAAACCTTGGTGGCCAATGGCTGAGAAGGAGCTGATTGTTCATTTCTTCCAGCCTGCGCCAACCTTTAGCTCTTACTCACCTCTTAGTCACAGTCCTGTCTACATTCAGATGTAATAACTCAGTTAACTTTCTTTGCCCACGCCTCTAACTAGTGCTTTTTACTCCACTGTTTTATTTAGCACCGTCACAAACTGTTCACCTAAAGGAGTGCACATTAACTGTAAAGGCTGTTGTCAAATCAAGGCAAAAGTGTTTTATTCTGTTAAAAACCAAATCACAAATTTCTTTCAAGGTTTATGTTGATCGCAGTTGTCTGTCTGCTCTTTCTCTCCAGCATGGGGGCCGTTGAGGAGAAACAGGAAAAATGTGGGACTGTCTGCCTGAAATACCTGCTGTTTACTTTCAACTTTCTTTTTTGGGTAAGTTTTCATTTGGGTACACAGAGCCCAAGTCAGTAGTTCCCAACCCACCCTGAACTAATAATAGCAGTAAAAGGCCAGGTTTAAACTACAAAACTGTCACCTTTGAAGTGTAATTATTGAAGACGAACTGATTATTTTACTGTGTAACAGAATTAAACTTTGCCTTCAAAATTTACAAAAAACAGAACAAAGACCAAAAGAATCCTGCATCTCCCCCATGACGTTCCGGCTTTTCAGGGGGTTTGCGTCTATCTACCAGTACGGTAACAATGCTGATTTTTATTGGGTAGAAAAACAAAACACGGACCAGCTGATTGGGAATCCTTCTCAACCTGAACCCTCAACCCCTGCCTACAAAGGTTACTCTATCCGTCGGACAAGACAACAGCTAATGAATCTGAATAACTTCGTATGAAGCTCATGAATGGTCTATGTTTCCAGAGCGCTGACTTGAGGTCCTCAAACAGAAAGGTTTCTTATTTATATGTAAAAACAATGTGGTAAATGACTTTCCATTGCAGCCTAATTGGAGCATAATTCTAACGGCTTTCAGCATAACCAGTTGTTACACTAGAATGGGCCGGGCAGAACCCTGGGAACGGGAGCCCATGGGTCAGTTAAAGAATTGATCGTGACAAACTTCCGCCTGCTGCACTAAAATAGCACTAGCAAGAACCCTAACTTGAAAGCAATTGGCAAGACTGCACCGTCGTAAAAATGAAAGTCTCCCATGTTTTGTAAGTTGATAGCAGACCACTTTAAACGGGTGTAGAGTCCATGTATAGACATGGCCACATTCACCCTGCTAGATTAAATCCTTCATCAGAGAACCAAATGTCTCTGGTCAGTTAAGGGTCATCTCTGTTTTGTTGGCCAACAACAACTGCAGCTTAGTTAGCTGTGGTGTTTAGTTGGAGCTCAGATTGCTGTAGGGCATCACTTTGGGTCACATGACTCATTCAGTGACGGCTCCAACCATCTAAAATTACATAACATAGAGGAATAGCCCACTCAGAGTATTGAAATATGTTAACCTGAAAATAATTTAAATATCTCAAATTAGGCTATAACTTGGGTCAAAAGTTAAAGTGGTTCTTTAACAAGTGGGAACATTTTCTATAAGCTTTGTATTTCATTGAAATAGCTTTTTGTAAAGCAGGCGTCCTGTAGCTCGACAGCCATAAGTGGCTCTCTCGACACTCAACAATGGCTCTCAGAATTTTGGCTAGAAATGATAAACAGACAGCTATTTTTTTTAAATAATTTTTATTTCATTGCATAAAATTTCCAATGAATTTCATTTTAAAAACTCAGATTGACATAAAATGATGGTTATTTATAATGCACAGATCTACCGTGGTAAAAATAAAAAAACAAAACAAAAAAAACAAACCATGCAGTGTTAGTGGCTCTAAACAAGATTTTTTTCAACCCCTGATTTAAAGTGATGATGATAAATCTAAAATCCCATTTGTTTCGCCAATGAGGCAGTCAGCATTAGAAACACATTTTTCTGTTTTTGCCTCGTTTTAAGTGTGAATCAACACTCTCTGCTCTGCACATATGTGATAATGAATCAGTTGGCTTCTCTACTGGAAACAGAGCTGTAAATATTAGCTGCAGTAGCATGACCAGAGATGTCTGGAATCCTTTTTTGACCAAATTCTATTCAAAAAGTGACTTAACAGATTTAACAGGAAAAGTGTGAATCAGTGTATATGTCTCATCCACCTTTTTCTTTCTTTGACACCTTCTTCTTCTCCTTTGACTATTTAAGCTGATGCAACGAGTACATTTCTCCACTGTGAGATCAATACAGTCAATCAATCATAGGGGTGTGGAAAAAAATCGTTTTGGTAATATATTGTGATTTTTGGCTGCCTGATATAATATCTTTTAGTTCGTAGTATCCATGTTTTTTTACCTATAACTGAGGGAAAATGGGCTACCTTTGTAACGCCACTCTGGCAGATAGTGCTGTGGAGACCTTTTGCTGTGCAGCGCAGTGCTATACCTGTAGTTTAGGCGGTCACAATGGAAGACATGGACTGACTCAAACCCCAAGCAACATGGAAACAAAAATTACTGAACGATCATTATCATCTGATGAAGATATACAGAGGTTGCTTTTTATCTATGCATTCAATTTTGATAGCAGGAAAAATATCGAAATATATGGTGATATTGCAATATAGTGATAACAGCGTGTCAGGACCCAAGTATTGTGACACATATCGCATCGTGACACTCATGCTAATTCTCACCCCTAATCAATCAATTAATAAAATTGTTAGAAATAAAAAAATTTTTTTGCAGGAACCGCATTTATATTTACGCTGCTAGTGTGCATGACGACACTGAACAGAAATCTAAATTGGCTGCATATCATTTTTGTTTTTTTTGTTTTTACCAGTACCTTGGATTTACTAACCTATTTTTATGAATAGACACATTTTCCCCTCAATCCCAGCAGATCCTAAGAAATTCTACTTGCTACCACTTGGTGTCGCCAAAGTTTAAGCTTCAGATGATTGAGGATCTGAAATCATTTATTTGCTATATTTTAGAGTGTGTAAGCATTAGAGGAAAAGATTAGTTGAATTGCTTTCATTCTGTTCCTTTTTACTTCTGTTTTAGTTTTGGTAAATTCAGGTGGATGTAACACACCTATTATAGGGTGAATAATCTACTGTTCTAATCTTTTTTTAAATTACTGTGTGGGATTATAACTCTCATGTATATAATGAAACCGCTTTAAGTTGAATTAATACGACTTTCCTTATTTATTATTATTTTCAAATCTTATATGCTCCAAATCTTTTAAACCACCTTTATGGTCGTAAGAGTTGTGGCAATTTACAGGACTACAGCTAAAGATTTAGATGAGCTTTTCTCTCTGAAGAAAGGATAAATTATGATGAAAAGCATTGTGTTTTATTGCTAACTTTACCTCAGAATGAATTAAAACCAAACTTTGGAAAGTACTTTAAACTGGCTTAAATACACTTTGTATATATTTTTTAACGCAGTTCTGAAAAGTATTGATAGATGAGTAACTTCTGGGAATGTAAATGTAAGTCCCTTTATTGTACCACAATGGGGAAATTTGCTCTCTGCATTTAACTCATCCCCTAACAATAACAAACAATAATAATAAACTTTATTTGAAACACCACTCAGAATGGATAACAATTCAAAGAGAAAACCTGGAGATAAGCATGGTGATAGGTAGGGGATGTGTAATCAGTTAATTTCACCCCTTATTATCAGTCAGGGTTGGCAGTAGATCAAGATCCTACATTTCATAGTGTTTTCTTTTTTGCAGTTTATCTTTTTGCCTGAAAGGTATTTTCTGGAAAACTTTACTCTGGTGAACTTGTCATGTTTCACACGTTGAACTAGATATGCACAGTTTTGATCCTGTTACTTGCTGCAAGAGAGGACAACAGTCAAGTATGTGATGCTCTGCTATGCTCAAACGTTTTTTGTTTTTTTTCCAATTATTAATATTGGAAAAAAATGTTTGACAAACCTATTTGGAATCAGAGTTCAGTCAGGGATATTCCTGACTACAGAAGAGTGGTTGAATACATAAATTCCAATATATGCAAATCACACAAACCGTTGCGGTCCATCAGGTGACAGTTACCATAATCCCATCCGTTCCTCTTTTCCAGCTGGCAGGAGGAGTTGTGATGGCAGTGGGTGTTTGGACCCTGGTGGAAAAGAGCGACTACATAAGCCTTCTCCCCTCCAAGACCTACGCTGCCTCTGCCTACATACTGGTCCTAGCTGGAGCCATCGTCATGGTAACAGGTGTTCTGGGATGCTGCGCCACTTTCAAGGAGCAGAAGAAGCTGCTGTTAGTGGTAAGAGATCACACCAAGGTAGAAATATAATGGAAGATGCCTGCAACTTCAGTGCTGTGAAGCCATTACAATGTGTGAAAAAGAATAGACAATTCTGGTGCACAGCATCAACAAAAAGACAAAACAGAAGAGCATGTGAGCTAAGGCCTGTATCACGAAAAGAGTTCAACGTAGCGGATTTACTCTCAGCCTTTCCAGTTTAAACAATCCACACCAACGGCAATCAGGTTCAGCAGTACCACGAAGCTGGTTATCAACTTGGTAACTCTATCCATTTGAACTGATCACAAATCTGTGAACATGCATGTGTAAAGGGGTGGGTTCAAGGTAGCAGACCAATCAGAATCATAAAGGGATTTAGAAAGAAGAGTACAGCATTTCTCCTGTGAGGATTGAAAGGTCAAACATGGCGGCTGACCGCGTAAATGCGCAGGTTAGACATCAGTAACATTTAACACACCCTTCATCCCAATCACTGTACTGCATATTCATCACGTGCCCCTCCAGAGTGAAGAGGACTTGGGAGCAGATCAAGATAAAAGACAAAAACATAATTTTATCTGGTTAGTTGGAATTTTTAACTCAATTATAATTGGGCTACAATAAAGCTGGGAGCTGATGCCACTACTCCTTGCATCGTATTAATACAAGAAGTGATCAGTCTGAGTGAAATCATCCTGCTTTCTGTGCTGAGTCAGAACTCAGCAGGACAATTGTTAAAAATCTGCTCTGCTTTTAAAATGGTAAAGAGATGCATTGGAGGACCAATGCATCTCTAAATGTGCAGAAATACCTTTATGTCTTGAGAGAGAGAGGAAATTAGACATAAGAAATTAAAAGGAGGAAAAATAAATTAATAAAGTTAACACTTCAATTTCTCAAGAACATATTTTGTTGTTGTGATGTTGTTTTAAGGTCTTTCTCCCTCTGAATTAAATCAGTGCTTCGCTCAAATGGCGTGTCATTATTTCCCGAACAGCTGATTGGCTGCTGGGTGAACCGTTTTCTAAGATCCAGATCAATCCTGAAAGCTAGCCTGACCTGAAGCGGGTTTGCTACTCAGAGTATGTTACCATGGTGACTAGCCTCGCTAAAAATGAATCCAACTTCATGGTACCGGTCTAGGTACCATGAAGTTGGTGCATGCCAGTGACGTCACGCTACATGATTGGCTGAACATTGCCACATGATGTAAACCTATACTTGCTTTAGGCATCCAAAAAAAGTAAATGAAGAAGTGCCGAGGTAGGGATACCATTGTGCTGTAACATTATCAGATCTAAGCTTACAACAACAGTATCTAAACATTATGTTACCCAGCGAGAAACCTGCGAAAAACCTCACAAAACAGTTTTCTTATACAGACATTTAGTAGTCACAGTAGTGATTTCATTCAGACGGTTGCAGACAGTGAGGTTAACCCTGTGGCCCTGCAGTAAGAGGTTCCTATGCTCTCTCTAAATGTAGTTTGCATTTTGTGAGAAATATGCATAAACTGCTTTCTCCCTGCAATCCAAAAACATAACCCTTAGATTAGGTCTCTCTGTATTTCCAATAAACATCCTGCAAATTATGATTTGGGATTGCTGATTACTAAATGATCTTCTCGGTTTGTGATATCTCCGTCCAGCAAAGTGCATGATTGCTGATTGTTGTATGCCCTGTTATGGGTATGCGTATGGATTACTATCTCATACCGGTATAAATACTCTCCATTTATTTAAATTAGGAGTGAATTACTGGTGATTTGAGGTTATGTGTTCATTTTTCCCTCCTTACAGTAACTTTTATCCTTTTTTTCCCTGGCTATTATAATACATTTGTTTTTGCTAAACACGCCCTTAAATCGAAATAATCATGTTTTTGTGACAATATATCCATCTGTATACTAACAATAAAAAATCCTGATTAATCTATTTAAATTCTATCTCAACAATTATTTACCATGTGACCTCTTCTTTTATGTTGTGATTTAAAATGCTTGATGCATCCCAAAGAGTTGCGATTACATCAATGAATCACTGTGAGAGAATGCACTTGCCAGCAAGGAGAGATGCTATCTGGATTGTTAATAGAAGTTGAACATAAGGACAGAAAGGAGGGGGAGAGTGGGGAGATAAGTGTGTTGTGTGGGTATGTCGGGCGTTCTTACCTGTTTCTTTATTATAGTACACAGACCCACACACATGCACACTCTGATTGGCACCTTTTTTGTGTAACCTGAAGGTCACAAGTTCTGATGTCTTTTCACTTCACAGTTTCACTGCAGTATATTACTGCTTTAAGACTTAAATAAACCAGCTGCTGTTGCCTTTTCTTAAAGCAAAAGACTTTTGGGAAGGATATGGATAATGCTTACAATACACAAAGTATGAAGGAGGTCAGAAGGAGCAAAAATCTAAAGAGCAATGAGCAAAGGAGGTGTGGTGAATTTTTGTAAATGCACACCTCATTTGTATTTATACTGGAAAAGAAACAATAGGGAGAGGATAACAACACAGTTTAATGGAGATCAGTTCTTTCTGTGGGTGAATCCTGCTGTAGAAAATGACAGCATGCAGTCTAACTTCTTTTTTTTTATATCTAGGTTACCCTGCTTTGGATGCAGTGAAAGAGAAAAGCACTTTTAGCAGATAACAGGAAGATTAGCTGAGTTAGGTTAGGTTGGTCTATTCCATTCTTTCAAACTTTAACTTAGTCTATCATTGATCATGCTGTATCTGAAGTGTTGGCATTAGGCCTGATTGATTTAAACCAAAAAATGATTTGCGATTAATTTTAACCAAAATTAATTGTGATTTTATTTTGATTTTTCTTTGCATGAACAGAGCTTGTATATGTTGCACCCCAGGTTTTCAGGTTTTAAAGGCATGCTTGCCCAGAGTCCATTGATGCAGGACTTAACTGTAATCTTTACGTAAAAAAATGCTAACTTGTACTTGTAAGCATTTATCTGCTTGCTAGCTACAACTCTCTTTACCTTTCTGTGTGATGACCAGCTCAATTTAAGGATTTTAACGCCACTTCTTTCTTTAGCCACTTAAAGGCCTGAATATGATCTCATAAAAATTTGATAATTTATAACATTCACATGGTTAGATTTTCAGGATACTAAATTTCATTGAGAATTTCAGGCTATTTCATCCAGACTTAAGTCCGGTTTTCCAGTTATTTCATATCATGTAAACTTTTATGATTATTTCCCTTAAAATAATCAGAACGGATAAAAACTGGAATCAAAACAAGGAATCGGGATCAGAACTGGAATCATTCAAACTCAAACAAAGCCCAATCCTAGTGAAGAGCAAGGTGAATTTTATTAGACACACATAAATAAACACACATGCTGAGGTGTCAGTATTTTGGTTTCACAATCTGCTTCTCAACATTCATGTTTTTCCTTAACAAATTTTTCTTATCTAAATGCACTTGTTGTCTCCCCTGCTTCCCATTGATTTTTTTTATCTAGAGCAGTAGGCTGGCAGAGCTGCAGACAGGTTAAAGAGATTGCTTCTTTGGACTTCATTTTATTCAGAGCGGCTGTTCAGAAACCTGATGGGGCTTTCATGACTAATATGTTCACCGGTCATGAACTACAAATGAAAGTGTTTACTGAGTCAGTCAGGGGCTTCAAAGGATATTTCAACCTTTAATAAGAACTAGATAAAAAGCTGTCGGGGTAGGGGTTGTCTCTGAGAATGGTATTCAAATAAATTTGTGAGTTAGAAAACACTTGGTCTAAGAAACCCTGATAGGACTTTACAGACTGTCAGCAAAAACAGTGTTGGTTTGGAATCTGGACGCATTCTGTTTGTACCCGTGCTTCTTAATGCACGTTACTGAGCGGTGATGAACGTCATGAATCACAGAGAAGTTCTGAAGTTGCAAAGGTGGAGTGATGGAAATGGGGTGACTGGGGTGCTGAAGCACCCCCTAGTGGCGAGAAGGAGATTTTAAAAAAATGAAAAATAATTTGCACAATTTATAAATTTGTGCAAAGTATTTTACCTTTTTTATTTTACTATTACATGTATTTGGATTTTAATTTAATTATTTTGAGGCCTAATCAACACAAGTCCATGGACAGGGTTCTCCACGGGTCATTAAAATCATTAAAAGTCATTAAATTATAATTTTTTCAAATTAAGGCCTTAATTGGCAATGAAATTAATTAAATGTGATTATTGTGGCATTTAAAATGCTTTATAAAAAAAAAAGAGTTTATAAAAACAATTTCGTCAGACATATTGCGATATATTTGCGCGGAACTGCTTCCGGTTGACCGTAAAGCCTTATGTTTGGAAAAAGAAGGTTGAGGCAGAGAAAAAGCTAGAGAATGGGAAAATGCAAATTTCAACAAAAGTGGCGGGAAAAAGAGGAATTTGGGACATGGCTGCAGCCTGTCGACAGGAAAGATGAAGGATTTTTGGCATTAAAGTTTTTTTCTATTAGCATTAAAAGAGCATTAAAAGGCATTAAATTAGAGTTTCTACATTCCTGTATAAACCCTGATGGAAGTTACATTGTCATGGCAACGTCAAGCAAGCGAGTGGTTGCAGCGGTATCCCGCTCGTGGCAGCAGACTAGTAAATGTACATAGTCTAATGACAGAAATGAGGAAAAAATATGGCACAGAAACGCATTTTGGATTTTTTTGGAAAACCACCTCCAGTGAAGAAGAACTTTAGAGACACGACAACAGAGAGCAGCCAGAGTGAGGACACTGTCCGCCCGCCTCTGATAGTAGTTGCACCGGCAGCCCAAGCACCTGCAGCCTAAGCTAGCGTGTAACCAGGACACATCGAGTGCTCTTAACTAGTTCAAAGTAAGAGCATGGTGCCGCCGAGCACTTTCATATCTATCCATGCAGTTTAAGATAGCTATAGTACTTTAGAGAGTGTTATTTTGATATTTGATCTATTTTGATCTTTTGTTCTTTGTGTAATTGGTGTGGAGAACTGTTCAGTCACGTTTACGTAGTAGAATAATATAATTAAAGC